ATATGGCTGGTTTGCTCCGGCAGGTGGATGATGAAGAGCTTCTTCGGAACATGTCCACCACAGCAGAGGGGGTGATTGATGCCTTTTCCAAATTTTTGGCTGATAACAGTATGAAGTAGGGTAGTCTTTGATTGGGCTGGTGCGTCGTAGCCAGCTTGTGAGTGTTGGACCCCCGACCCGTGGCAATGTTCAGAACAATTGCTTTAGGGAGTTGGGGGTGTGGGGTTCATGTCCGGTGTATGGGGCAATGTTGGTACATTGAAACCGAACTGCCCTGCAAAGATGTCAACTTCTGACCCAACCTTGATATGGATGGTGCTCCATGCCCGGCCATGTGATGTGCACCAATGCTCACCTGCAGCTTGGCGCCAAGTCAGTTGACATGTGATTCAAACCTGGGGTGCCTAAGTGGCATGAGGATCCGAAGCGAGTCCCAAAAGTGTTCTTTCTGAGTCTTCGTGCACTGACTGTTCCTTTGGGGTGCTTGGTTCATGGCCATGCATGCAGCTAGCTTTGCTTCCAAAGACTGTTTTATGTTTCAATGCACGTTGGGCAGGTGGAGAACATCCTATTCAATTTCCCTATGTTTTGGAAGAGCAAGCCGAAAATGTAAGCTCTGGAGTTTCTTGGCTACTTTGGACTCACCAGCATAGGTTTCACAGGGCAACCTCAAAAGTTTCTGCAGTTGCCTGTTCTTGCAGTCATGGGACCGTCTGTCGAGCTGAGGCTATATCCACGACCAGGGCAATGAAGCAGATTCGGGCCCATGTCCGTGTGCCTTGGCATCGAAATCAAATGAGGATCGAAGTTGGTTGGCGGTTGGCTGGCATAAATCAATTGTACTGATCGATTAATGGTCTGATTCTAAGTGATGTGCTTTGGGCTGGAAAGGAAAGCCAATCAGCAGTGCATCCCGATAGCGCGCATCTTGGTGTAAAGAGTGGCTGGAACGACAGCAGGGACTTCTGGAAATTCATCGATGTACCATCGATGGAAACATAGCTGCATCAACTAGTACTATGTGCGTTTGAACTCGTTTAAACTTGAGTTGAAACCTCAACCCCATGCATCTACTGAAAAGGGATGGGAATGCCGTGTTTATTGTTCTTCCTTGGCCATTTGCCCAATTTGCGTTTGAGGCCCAACACACCATTGCAGTACCCATCAAAGATCCTAAACACGATGGAAAAGTTATTCTGGAGAACCAGCCAATCCTTTTCCCTCATGAAGTGCTGTCTTACCTGTGGGATTCAGTGAAGCTCTCCATTCCAGTTGAAGATGTTCGAAAGTTCTGGAGGGATGCACGAGCTGCGGGCGAACCTTGGTCACTTGAGACCACCGCGACTGAAGAGCACATTCCAGTTGCACTATACGGGGACGGTGCACGGCTCAGCACCGTGTACCAAACAGAGACCATCTTAGGGATATTCCTCAGCTTACCTCTTTTTCGCCCACGCAGCGTTCGATGCTCGAGATTTTTGCTGTGGAGCTGCGAAAAATCCAAGTGCTTCAAGAATCGCACTGTAAACAAAGCGCTGAGGGTGATCACCTGGAGCCTGAATGCAGCATTTCATGGAACCTTTCCCAACGTTGATATGCAAGGGAATGTTCTGCAAAGGCCGGATGCTGGGAAGTGGATCATTTCTTGTGGCAAATCTTTCGCGGTCACCGAATTGAGAGGAGACTGGGAGTGGCACAAAATGCTATGGAGATTCCCGCAGTGTTCATGGAAAGCCAATACTGTATGCTACCGATGTCCAGCTCTAGCAACTTCCGACAATCCAAAATTGCTCTATCACTGTATTGACCGCAGCGCTGAGCCTTCCTGCATTATTGAACGAATGTTATAATTCGCTTTCCATCCATGTACCTGGTAGAGAGGGTGCCTACACGGGTTTTGGGATACTCCCCCTTCTCAAGCCTTAGGTTGCACCCTAGAAGTCCAAAGCCTTTTGGCACAACTTAGCAATAATTAGAAATGAAACCATGAAACATGCTCTTTTGGGCCACCGGGCTACCTGATATACAGTATATCTTGTACCATCTTGTACCATTCGCTCAATTTCCCTGACACCTATATTAGGGTTCACCAAATTTGTCCATTTGTCACCAAAACGGTTGGAGGCTGTCAACAAGTCTTGGACTCCCAGGGTGAGTTGATGTGATCTAAGGAATGGCTGGATAAGGAGTTCACCAAAGAGGAGTTCGTTGCAAAACGGATCCCGGACAAGAACATTTGCCGCTTTGGTCTATATAGTTCGTTGTACCATGTATAGCGACTTTGAGATGGAGATTGTTTTTAGTGGGATGGAAGACACACGGTTGAGGTCCACTTCTAACTCTCGAAGGTTGGCATCCTGGGACAATAAAGACTTGCAGCATGCACACACTGAACCTGGGCATTATGTTCAGTATCAACGGCGGGTCTTTGCCTCCTGCTATGTATACAACACTTTTGACTTTCCTCTATGCCTTTGAGTTAGGCTTTCATGTAGGGACAGCACAATAAAATAGCTACAAACTTGTTGGAAATTAGTCTTCAGTTGTTGCCTGGAAATCATTGCATCCAGGATGCTCAGCAAGCCAATCCCAGCCAATCCAACGGCCAAGGTGTTGAAGAAATAGAGGTTCACAGCCTTCGATGTAAACAACGGTTGATTTGGATCTCTAGTATATTTGGATCTCTAGATGTCTGAGCCCTGGGGGGTGTTCTTCAGCTGTAAGGGTGTCTTTTTTAATCAAGAATTCTATAGCTCAGGAAAGTCCAAAGCAACTTAGGAAGATCCTCTGTGACGAGGTTGCCTTTTTTGGCGGTGGAAGCTTTCAAGACCAATTGGATCAGGCCTACGCTCACTTCAAAGGGTGGTGTGTTCAAAACCGGGTTCACCATTCACAACCTCCTTTCAAGACGAAGATGGAGCCTTGTTGAGGAGACAGATCTGGAGATTTCTAGAACTGTTTTGGATTGGTTCCCCAATCAATGTCATAGGCATACGGGCACGTGAGTCATGATTTCGAAGTGAAACCTAGTACTTTTTTTCTTCTGCTCCCACCCACAACTGAAAATGCCATAGGATGATTGTCCAAACTCCCCTTACGAACATTATAATATGAGTGTAATTCATAACAGTACCCGTAGCTGGGTTTGCCACTCAGGTAGAAAAGAAAACTGGCGATATTATGCTCACAGTCAAAGCGTGGAATGGGAGGATTATTCTGCAGTGGCTCTCCAGTGTATTGCAAACAGTGGTTCAGTCGGGTCGACATCCTCACAATGACAGGTTGCACTTGGCATCCAGTATGATGTAGCTTGGTTCGTTTCAGGATATGTTGGATATACAAAAGACTTTTTGCAACCTACATGCACATGAGAGTTATCTTTCTCGGCCCTTTCTTTGTATTCCAATTCCCGGTGCCTTGTCTTCACGATCTCAGGACTGCGTTGACACGCTTCTTCTGGCTTTCCGAAGCCCATGGCCGCGAGTTGCAGCTCGACTGTGCACGAAAGACTGATGTAGCTAGTGTATTCATGAGGGGCGCTCTTCTGATGACTTTATCGAGGCCACCAACTATTGCGCACACAATGTGGGAGGAAGGCATGTTGTTCTTGGAGCTCTACAAGAGCCCGCAAATACTATCCGTCAGGCTCCGATTAGTTTTGAAGGTGTCGATCATGTTTAATAAAACATGAGCTTGCACGCAAGGCATGCAAGCACCTGCAAGTTGGTTTGGATTGGGCCAGGATGTCAAAGCAGCAGTTCTTGATGAAACCGAAGCATCATGTGCCCTATTTGCAATTGGGTCACCTTGCAGGATACACATTGATGTGTCACACCAGGTTGTTTGATGGGGCCATGTTGATGAACAACTGAGATGTTTGCCCACCTCGTGTGGGACACAAAGTTCTACAGAGCCTTGCCTGCCAATCACCCCTTGCTATCTCTCTTTCTCTCTCTGCACCTATGTGTGTGTGTCACCTTGAGTGGACATGATGTATAAACCAAAGTTCACCTGCCATTGCCTGCCATGATATCCGAGGAAAGAACCAAAGGTTCTGGCATTGTTTCTGCGATGAGGATGGAATGCGATGGCTCAAGCGCCACTTGGTGTTGCAATGTGTTACATTGCTGGCTTGCTGCCATAGATCATGAGGAAGCATGTGCGTGTGTGCGTGTTTGTCATTCTGGGCATATAGCTTTCTACGATTTATCTATTCTTGAAACTAAGAAGTGGGAAATGGTGCATCTGCAAAGAATAGGGCCAAATGGGTTCTGAAGTGTGGAAAGCTTCGAGTTCGATCGATGCGAAACAAAATCGCACAGCTTCTTGGCGTTTTTGGCTGCTTTTGCGCACTTGAATGTGTTTTGGGGGTCTTTGGATTGTTGGGAACTTGAGGTTGATGCGATCTTCACGGTCCAGACTTTGACCATCATCTTTTGGTGGAAAAAATGATGCTGCACCCAGCTGGGGCATGTGCAGATTTGGAAATGCTCTAATGTAGGTTACCACGTCGACCATTACAATAATGTAGGTTAGACTTGTAGGGATAAGATATAAAATTAATAAGTGATTGAATATGTCTTAATTGCATGATGTATGGGCCGTACACACCGGAGAAAATGCAAGCGAACGATGCTTCCCACCTGGCGTTCTTCACGGTTTGATTGTGCCTCTGTCAGGTATCAAAGTGACAAGCCTACATTGACCCAAACCACCCCAATATACATGGCATACATGGAGTGTCTGGGATAGGGCTCAAGGTTTTGACGTGCTCTTTGTGTCTTTTTCGGACTGTCTCTTCGATCCTCTTCTCACCCGAATCGCACCCTGTCCCCCCAGTACTCCCCTGCAGATTAACATGGAACCCCCAAAACCACTGGGTGGGTCTTCGGAACACGGTCTTCCACCACCGGTCAATTCTCGGGTTCCATGTTCGTTTGCGGGAGAGTAAACCTCTCTTCTCTCATCTTCTCTCCTCCCCCAGTCATCCGGTGAGGCGCTAGGTTCCTGGGACCGCCAGTGACCGGGTTGCACCTCACGGGTTTCGGGAAGACCGCAGTGGGGATCAGCACTCCGCTGCCCGCCGCGCGCAGCGCCCGGGCGCCGTGGTGCTCCTCAGCCTGGGTGTGATGAGGGGCCCAGGCCCACAAAAAGACAACCAAGCCACAAACACGGATACTGAAGAGCGTGAAATGTTGTTCAAATTCCAAATAAAATCGTAAAAACCATGCAACATCAACAGACCTACTGTAGACCTATCACAAATCTTAGCTCATTGGTCATTCATCCCTGGCAGCATCAAACTCATCGCAAGACTGGGTCGTCTCGAAAAACTCGATGACACACGATGACATCCGTCGAAAAATCCACTACCTCTCCCCACAACCGGGGGTACCGTGGGGGGGGTACTTGCGGGCGGCGTCAACCTCACTCAAGCCCCACTGGTAGCGCTGGTGGTCGACGTCCGTCGGAACACCGCTCCAAGTCTCTGGAATCTTCCGGTGCACCGCATGGCTCTGCAGCGCATAGCCAGGTTGGTCATCGCCCAGGTGCACGGTCACCGGTGGGATGAGCGGGTCGTTCTTGGGCTGGGGACCTGCCAGGTGCGGAGCGCCCAGGTCGATTGGATCGCCCAGGTGCATGAATTAAGGTGTTCTATAACTATATAGTCTTTCCTATAGTCTATTCTGTTGCATCCAGTGAGTGAAGGGTATGGACAGTTCATGGAAGTTTCCAGTTCGTGGAGATCATAACAACACATGTAGAGATCAATGAACTCTCGAACAAATGGCAAGGAAATGGATGTAAACGGGGAAAGGTGAAAGCACATGTAAAAGGCAAACTAGACCAAGCGGATATTTATTCGCTGTAGGACACTCGAATCCTAGGATGAGCTCCACAAAAGAGTTCTAGGATATGTATATATATATATAATAACTATTGTATATATATATTATAAATTATGATGTTTAGATAATTCCCGGATTATGAACCACTGGTTGCCTACTGATCACCGGATGTCTGGGAATCCGCACCATATCCTCTGTGGAAGCCTCTCCTTTGATGCTTCCGCACCCGGCTGCGCGCGGCTCCCACAGGCGCCTGGATCCTCGAAGCGGTCCCGCTGCTCGGTGCGGTAGTGGGTCACCGGTTTAAAGACTTGCTGCCGCAGCTCCACGACACCTTGTTCCGCCGTTGTTGTTCGGTTGAACCGGCGGTTGAACCGGCGATGGAAGCGGTGGAACGGGGGAGCTGGACAGGGGAGAGAGAAGCCTTTGGGGCATTTTGGGTGACAAGCATAGGGGGCTTGACTAGAATCTAGAATTTCCAAAGCAACTAACTGCAATGCAAAACATATATATATAGATATATAGTTATAATATGTCCAGGAGGATTGAACAATCCCCGCGCTGATATGAAAAGCACCCTATAGAGTCCTAAGGAGCTTTATATGGGTACAACATGGTACAACATATGTTGCCATCGACATACATCATTCCGTTGATCTCCTCACCTGGATTCACCTGGACCGATTTGGGTATAGCCTCAAAAACAAACCACACCGCGCCCAAAGTATCCAAAAGTCTGTAGTGGAGCAAACTCAACATGTAGAACAGGAAATTGGGAATCTTGCATCTCAACAAAATCTCAGGTTGCCTTTCAAGAACTCGTGTTTTTGTCAAGAACCAGCCTTCTTTTTTTGGTGGGGTTGTTTGGGTGAGGTTGGTTCAGTCACCTGTGGTCACCTAGTCCCTCTTCAAAACCATCCACATCCCTCCACCAGCTCAACCTCTTGATTCCAACATGCACCGGGCTGCTCATATTCTTGTCCGGGGCATCACAGGTGGCATAGACCACTTCAGGATCCACGAAGGTGCTATGGCTCACAGAAGCCCCTCGAGTGTCCTGGAGCTCCAAACGCCAATCAACTCGGCGAGCTGTGGTTCGATCTACAGAATCCATATTATCTTGTTACACACCCTTAGGGGTGAGGAGAAAGAGTGCTTTCTCAACATCCGCACCCACATCGCTCGGCATCGCCTCGAATCTTTTTCCGGAGAATACATGGCCAATGAAATGGTGCACCCAGCGGGTCACTTAGCGGGTCTTTCCAGCTGTTTCGACCAGTTCTCGGAGTCGAACCCCAGCACCCAGGGTAGCTCTTGATGGTGGTCTACACCCCCTCAAATGGACCCTGAGACCCTGAGACCCGGGTCGAATGGACCCTGAAAGACTGTTTCCTCGGCCACTGGTTTGAAAAGGGTCCGTGTTAGTCACTGGCTTGTCTTCAGCGGGACTTTTGGACCATCCGAACTGGGTGGTGCGTCGCCATGGGCAGAAGTGCCGAAACCACCGCCAAAGTGAAGCAAGAGTGAACCTGGAAATGCATAATGCTGGAATGATTGCTGAAACCCTCTCGCCAAAAGAGTCCAAAAACTAGGGACACGTCTGATACGCCTCCCTGCAACTGTATGCACGTGCTTTTTGGATCTTGTTGGTTGTATTCTTTTCTGTGGTATTTGCAGTAGATTTGGATGTTGCTTGGAAGCAAATGATAGCACATGCATGCAAATGCAAAATTTAGGAAGCAAGTTGCAATACATAAAGGAAATTAAAGGACAACACAGTGAGTTACGTATCACTGCATCCTTACATCGCTACAAGCACATCCCCCACCTCCACACCCCCGACCCACCCAACAACCACACCACACCAAAATGTGACAGGAGTAAGGGCGGCGTATCTGCAGCCAAAAACAACAGTTGGCACATGTTGGCACCTGTTCCCATTTCAACTCTTTGTGAGCCCACCCCATGTCTATCACAAAGAATCCGATAAAACGAGCAAAATCTTCGCCATCTTGGCTCTCCCCTGTGGGACATCTCCTCGTCCCACTTCTGACAGCCAATGGCAAAGTGGGTGGCCTCGTGTAAGCGCTTCAATTGCGAGGCCTTCTTGCTGCAAATCACCTGATGAACGCCCAGGCCCGGTCCCGGTTGGCTCGGAGAAAAGACCAGAGATGGGCATTGTTCGAGGGGTGCCTTTTGAGCGGATATCTCATCGGTGTGGTGAGGAGGGAAGACATCGCAAACAATACTAAAGGTGCTAAAATCAAAGCAGGTCGATAGATCCGATAGATGCTGGGCTACATGGGTGATCTTTGGAAGCTTGGTTATGGCAGCTTATGCCATCTTATGCCTACACGGTTGCACCAGTTGTCCCTGCCCTTCTGACCGAACTGCTTGAACTTCTGACAAGAGCGAGGTTCTTCAAGCAGCTCCACTCTTTGGATTGCAGAATTTCCATTGCGCTTTAACAGTTTTGCGCTTTTGCTGCCCAAGGTTGAAGCCTTTGAGCATTCCCCACTAAAGTCAGATTAACCAAAGCCAAGAACTCAACCGGTCAGCACCCCACCGGTCAGCCGACCCGACTCTCCCCCGCCCCCGCCTCCTTGGAAGTGGAGCCCATGCCTCAGCCGCACCCCGTGAACGGAAGACAGGAGAACAGGCACTGCAAAAGCCCTTTGAAGACCCTGGTGTAAAATATGGATAGTATGGTAAACTACACCCTGGGTCAAGTTGGGAAACTCAACACTATTGAAGGTGCGGATGTTGCGAGTTGCTGTTTACTGGTGCAGCGACCTTCTTGCTATGCCCAGTCGATCTTGGAGAGTCTCAACCAAGTGCTTAAACCGATGCTACGCCCCCTTGTCACCACGGACTACCATGGAACCCCACTGTCACCACGTCGGGGTTGGTCTTCGGATGTCTTCAAATCGAATTCTTATGTCCATGGGATTGTCTGCTGGGGAGTAAACTTGCTGCTCAACTTCTTACTGCCACTGTCCTATGTGTAGGATGAGTTTGCTTGTGGAGGACATGTAGGCATGCACACACACGCAAGCATCCCGTCCTTTGTCGGGTTTTGGGGTTCATGATGTTGAGTTTGGGAGTGGCAGCCGGTGGTAATGGGGAGTTTCTTGAACAAGGTCACCCATCTCCGAACTCAGGGATATCAAAAGGATTCAAAAGGTGCCACTCCAAAATGCAGCCCAGCACATGGGTTTTCGCAAGTTTTCGGGACAAGTTAAGACTCAGCGCCCAGCTACCCTTGAAGAATCCCTCGTACTGATTCTCGGCATGTTGGGCAGGTCGACTCTGCGCGAAGCGAAGTTCCTCGCGCTCCGCGCCCCTCGACATGGGCTGCACCTTCTGCGGCATGGCGGCACCAAACCCTTTGAGGTCGACGTGTTTGTGCAGGTCAAGATGCATGCAAATCAAGAGCCTCAGCTTTCTAGGATGGACCAGCTGACCCCCGGATGCCTGTCTCGCTCTTGAAGCTCATGTGCCGGTCTCATGACGAGTCTACTGAGCCAGGAAGACCGAAAGGTGGCAGAACAAACAAGGCCCAGTGAAGGAGCACAGATGTTCAAAGTGAGTGTTTGTTCTTGCCAGCTGTGGGTCCCAACCTGTGAGTATCAACAAGCGTTGCCAGCATCACATAGATGCACCCATGATGCCTTGCCCAAGATTGGCGTAGGGGTCAAGTACATACCTATTTAATGGTCTAACCCCACCTTCTCAGATTAAGCCCTCAGGGTTTACCCTTGCCCCGATCCTGTTGGCCGTGCAGGCTGCTGAAATGACCTTTTTTGCCCCTCAATGCTTCAATTCTCAGCAACCAGGGCTGATCCTGTGCCAGCATTTGGTCCCTTCACTGCAGCTCCACGTCGGCCTCAATGCTCGGCATCAGGGCTCAACAGCAAACAAACACGTGCAAACACGTTTCATGGAAGCTGAACCCTTTGTATATCCCAGACACTCCATGTATATGCTTACATTGGGGTGGTTTGGTGGGGTCAATGTAGGCATATATTCCATACATGGAGTGTCTGGGTATAGCATCAGTCATCATTGTTCCATGACCCTATGAGCTTGGGTAATGCAAAGCTTGCAGTGCAAAGCTTGACTCCAAGCGCTTCACCAAGGAGGCTTCCTGAGTGCAATCCGCTGGCAATCACTATGAGCAGGGAAGTCAATCACCACCAGTAGCTGAAACTTAAGAACGAAATTGCTTCTCTAGTTGTCTAAATGGAGGGAATCGTCAACAGGGGATGTAAGCTGCAGAACCCTGGTTCACATTTGGTTGGTAGCTCTGAGCGGCCTTTCCCAACTCCCAGGCAAGGAGGGTCATCTGTGGAAAATTGGAATATATCTTGAAACAATACCATGGCCAAAAGCCAAAGCACCCCTATAAGCACTCCAAACACCCACATCTGAGAACCCCTGTATCTCATATATATATATACACCTCCTGGCAGTAAGTGACATCGCTCTTAGATCTCTTAGGCTCTAAAGTCCAAACTTGGTACTTCATTAAACCGATCATAACCGATCCATTTGATGGATCAGAACTAGGCGAGAAAAACGCCTTCACACAGGCTTAGCCGTCTCCAACGTTTAACTCCACAAATTTGCCACCAAACTCTCACAGAGTTCGACCGCCTCTGGCCATGGCTCCAAGGCCTTCTTCTTGGCCTCCAACGCATCGATTTCTTGGCTCTGCATGGTCTTCTTCGCCTCAAAGTTGGCCATGAGCTTTTCACATTCCTGGCGATACGGTGATACGGTGCTTCCATGTGCTTCCAATGGTTCAACGACGCGTATTTCACAGTGGACCCTCCCTGGTCGAAAGTGGAAGGCCAAGGCAAACGTGCGAATGGATACACTATATATAGGCATTGGCACCATGGAAGGTTGATATGACATGCGTTGAAAATCGTTGAAAGTTGAAACCTAATGAAACATATAGTGTTTCCTTGGGGGTGCTCGCAGTGTGTTCAACGTTTTCAGTGCGGAGTTCTTCCAAAAGCACACATTGAAAGATAAGCAAACCATAGCGATCTCACATTGACTCAGCGTAATGCCGGCATGCGGTCTTTGCTTTCTGGGTATCGATTCGACATACGGCCTCAAAGAACTCAGGTGAAACATAACCACTCCTGAACAATCTATATATTAATCATGATTAATCAAGTATTCATATTTTTGCACAATGTATTGATCTATTCAGAAATACTATAAGGCTCAATATAAGCTCATATACTATCCAATGACTGACATGCAAATGAGATCCAGTTCTGTGCATATCTCCGGGTCGCAAAGCGGCGAGAGCGCCACGTTTGGCGCCAAGTGGCTGCATTCAGTGTCATGGCCAGTTCATCCGTGAGGCCCATTTGCTCCTTCAAGGCCTCCGGTGTGGACGGTGTTCAAACGATTGAGCTAGGCTGGTGAGCTTGGAGGGTCCTGGGTCATGACAGTCATGTCATGTGTCATGTCATGGTGTAGATTTGTGCGGAATCGAAAGACTCCATATGAAGAGTTTGTTCAATCCAACTGGGGAGTTGTTCATCAATGGTCTCCATAACGTGACTTCCACAAACACCGCGACCGGCGCAGCTCGGCTCCAACAGCGTGGACCGTCGCAGCTCGGCGAAGCCACGAGCTCCACGTTGCGTCGCCTTCTGGCGGTCCTGGATCCTTTGACTCTCTGCAGCTAGTGCAGCTTGTCCTGCCAACAGTCGTGCTTCTCAGGGAAATGATGGATCAAAGCACTACCCAGAATGATTGATCTGCCAAAGCAACATCCTGAAACAGGTTCTGCCACAGAACGGCAGAATGCTGGACCGCATCATTAGTGTTGCAACCATTTGCATGAATGGATCCGTTTGTCCCAATCAATCGATGCGGTGGGACTAAGTGGCACGTACGATGCGCCTAGAATGGTCCAGATTCATCTAAAACTCCAACAGAAAGAGAGAGAACCGTCAAGAGTCGTGGACTGTTGTGATTGATTTTGGTTGCTTGTTGGTTCCTCTTGAACTTTGCCTTGGCACAAACATCGCAAAACCAACTCAAAGATCGCACTTTTCTTCGCGTCGTCTTGGCTGCGGACAGGCTCCTCCCACGAAATCCGTCAAACTGAAGGCATCCTTTCGCCGAGAGGACTTGGCCACCTGGCGACCGCTTTGACTCGGAGCGACCGGTTTGGCATTGTGCCCGGATCTGAGAAGAAGAGGTTGAATATGGTTGAATGGAGGGTGCAAGTGATCTAATATGATTTTATAGATATGAGGTGCAACCCCCTAGTTACCATAGAACAATTGTTTTATAGATTTTTATATAGGGAGCCTTGACCGGCCTGATTTCATAGCGGCGAGGCACCAGTGCTGCCAAAAGAATCCAAATCCCTCAAAGGTATGTGACACCCCTGGACTCGACCGGTTGGCTCAATTGCTTCATGGTTCTTGTGAATCTGATCTTTGAGGCGTCTCACGGCCCGTCGACGGCCACATGGCAAATCCACGGGAACGACGGAGTTCATGCACGGACAGCCTCCACCAAGCCGACATACGCTGCTTGATCAGTCGACTCGCCTAAGTCAGTTCGGATGGGGCTTGGCCGCTGGGCCCCCAACTTCACCATCGAATCATCGAATCAACCAACCAAACCCCACCGACCCAAGGAAAATCCATCTACCCACGCGAAACTCGCAAACATAGAGCAAGCTACAACTGCCGGAGATCTCCGGAAATGGACCCCAAAAAACGCAAACCATGCACAGACTCAGACATGTCGTGTGCCAAACAGTTCACTGGCTCAGACCGAACCGTCCGTCGCTTCCTCCGCACCTCCCACCCGAAATGCGCGGCGACACGCGCGGTGTGCGGGCGGAGGGACGGAGCTTCACTTGCTCCACCTCCGACTTCACCGAGGCGATGACCGACGTCAAGGACCTGGAAGGTCCCGCCGAGATGAAGCGGTGGTGGGTCACGCGGAAATGGAAGGACAAGGTGGCAAAGAAAAACACCCCATGGAGAGCATAATTTGGAAGGGCTGAGGGGGGGCAGTTGCTTCTGGGGGCTTTTAGGAAGCAAACAGGAAGATACATGAACTTTTGCGGGATCTATGGAGATGTTATAGTTTCAAGGTGGCTAGCAGCCATCAACATGCGCTTTCAAATCCTTCCTCAACTTCCGAGGGTGCAATACACTCACGACTCGACCCCTGAAGTCCATGGATGACAAGGCTCATATAGCCTAGTGAACCCTGAAACCTCCTGGATCTATATAGGAAAGTATTCTGCTCGAACCGCTCACGTGCCTGAGTGCTGGCCCAGTATCGCTTCCTTTGCTGGCTTCGGTAAAGAAGCCAAACTCCTGGGCCGCGGTCTGTGCATGTCCGTGCAACTGTCACGATGTTCTGTGACAACACATATTGCAAATACCCTCATCTTGGTGGCGATCGGTGATGGGGAGGCAATATATTTAAATATACAGTTAAGATAGTGATATAGTTGAATGATCTGTAGATTCTGGGCAGAAGGTGCATGGAGGTGCAGGCATGTCTATAGGCTTTAGTTATGGATTCCTCATTCAACATGTTCCAAGTCACCGGTTTCCGATTAAAACCATACATATGTTCATAGGCATTTATAGAATATTTAGACTAGATATGGATCGATATATTTAGGCTTCAGATATGGCTTTCGGCCTCCATGCCTTGTTGCCATGCTGGAGGAATCAGGGCTCACGGGCTTTCTCGCAACGTGAGAATTTGGGTCTGGTGCATCTGACGCACCATCCGGGGCCCAAAGGTTGCAATGACGTCCTTGCGGATGGTCCATGTTCCACTACTTGTTCAGATTTGGTAGGTTGTAAAGGAGACCGTTGTAGAGATGTTGTTCGTGGGTGAAGCCTTGCAAAAGGTCCCCGTAATCAGATTGATAGCAACTCCCGCGGCATTTCTCAATTGTTTACTTTTCGCTTCGCTTTGGAGTCCATCCTGCGAGGTCGCTAGTATGAGATCGCATGAGATCGTCGTCTCCCTCCGACATGGAGACGTCCGCCAAGGCACAGAATCATCATCTCCACCACCACTGGGCGTCCCGCCTAGCGTGCCACCCTGGCACGAGAATCAGAGAGAGAGAGAGAGATAGAGAGTCAAAGAAAGAAAAGGTTTTAAAAAGAGGTTGATAAGTTGATGATTTCTGATAGAAGGTTTCCAACTTCACAAATCATCAACTCATATCAAGTTTTTCTGATCATACCGTCCCTTGGGACCGTGTTTCGGAAGATGTGCTTCGTCCTTGGGCGTTCCGACCTACCAGGTTACCAGCATCGGGGAGACCAAACGTTCCTTGCTTACGCTGGAGGAGCGTAGCTGTTGGCCATGACTCATGACGTTCGTTGCTACTAGATAACCAGCTTGACAGGTACGAAATTGTACAAGCATGATCATGGTTTAAACTGTCCTTTGTATTTTCGCCATGGTGTGTTCAGCTCACTATGCCCCTTCTCCAGAGTTAGGGTGGGGCAGACAATGTTCAGTTTCTAGGGCTAGATTCTAGGGTGTTCGTACCCAGCAATGCTCAGTTGCCGTAGCTCAGATTGCTTTCGAGCCTTCTGTTTGAAAAGGACATTCCTGTCACCGAGTCGAACCATACAAAAAATCTGGTCTTGGGCTGCCTGGGGGCTGGGGCTGTGGGTGAGTTCTGCCACGGAGTTCGTGAATCGGTTCCCCCTTCTGTGGGAAAAACACAAGTGACGTACAAACTCGTGTGGCTGGCCTGGATTCCTTCATGGGCGCTACTGAAGCTCAAAGAGGATTCCACTTCATTCAACCAAGGAGCATGATTCACCAGGCGTTGGGGCGGGGGAGTGCAATATATGGTATTTTTGGATACATCATCCCTTGTCCATCTGGACCAAAGGCCTCCTGCAAGTACTTCTCCAAGGAGTTCGCCGCCTTGTGCAGCACCTCAGTTTAGCTCGATGGCGCGCCCAATCTCCAAGATCTACAGTCTATGCTGGCGAATCCACGCATGTGGCAACGTTTCGCATCTCTCTCTCCCTCGACCTCTCTGTCCCTCTCTCTCTCTCTGCATTTTTGTCCTAACACCTCCACTCAGAATATCGTGATCTGAACGGCGAGCTGTGTTCCCTCCTATGCAAGGCCCGAGTTTCCTGGAAACGATGACAATAGTCTTTTCAACCGCCAATTTGGATCAATTTGGTTCTCAGTGTGCTTGGGTACCTGAAAAGCATTCAAATACACATGCTTATATTGTAATAATGTAATATATATAATGTCTCGATGCACCCAAGGTGCATCTACCGCTGCGGCACCTGGCAGAAAAGCAGCCAAAGGAGAGTGAGCCATCTAGGAATCTAGGATAAAACAGCTTAAGGATGCTTAAGATGTGTCTTTGGTGCCACGCCCTCTTTCAAGGTACAAATGACTTCGATGACTTACAGTAGTACGTATATACAAATTGCATGGTGATTTCGCACCTCCTTGTGGATCCAGGCTAAGAAAGAAACAAGCACACACACACATAAACTGCTTGATCCAGTGGTTCCGTGAGTTGTAGTCTGGGTCGCTGTCGGCTACCTGCAGGAAACATCTTGACTCAATCGTGCATCTTCATCATCATCATCACCATCATCCTCATCATCATCGTCTTCTTCATCTTCTTCATCATCATCACTATATCATGCTCATTGTTATTCGCATGACACATCATAACGTATCCAACCCCCCTGCACAGCCAACTCAAAAACAAAGACCCTCCAACCAGCATCAGCATACATCCGCCATCCCCCTACACTGGCGGCGCCTTGGGCTACACTGGTGGCCAAATGCTTGTGTTCCTTCTCGCGGAGCTTGGTGGCCGTTGCCACCACCCAGTCCACACGCGCGAGGGCTTTCCTGAGGGCGAACAGCTGAGGTGATCTGAGAATATTCACACAGCACGGGTTGGAAGGAAGTATCCTAGATATAATCCACACCATCCGATCACAACATCAGAAAAATCAAGCAACTCTCTTTGACCAGCTGAAATCTTTGCAGGGAGTCGTCCGGGCTGAACACCCAAAACCAACTTGCTCGGTCTCCACACGGTCTCCACTCCCATCCGTTCCCTTCCGGCCGGTGGCTGCGGCTCTTTTTTCGTGACGACCGGCGTGACCTGTGGCGTGCCGCGGTGCTCAGCGCGTCAGCCGCTACGTGTCGCCGTCCCGTCGCGCCGCAGCGTTGGCAGCCGCCCAGATGGGCGATCGCAGTCGCTTCAGTTCTCGTGGTCTCGTTGGGAGTCCAAAACAACGATGGATCGTTGGCAAGCGTTCTGTCCAGTCACGCCATCCGCTCAGATGCTCAGAAAACGTGCCAAAAGCTGAAGAGCTGCATGCAAAAGCGTGAAAAGATCGATCTGCAGGTTCTTGGGCTTGACTTATTCAGACGCGAACTTTGCAGTGTTGCAATGGCTGTTCATGCCCTGCCTGTTGACCCCATCTGATTCAGACAAGGGCCAAATTCCAAATCGAGATTCTTAGGATGGTTTCTTTGGCCTTTGGCGCCCAAATTTAGAACCAGAATCGGCGTAGCACGGGTGGATCTCGAACTTGCCGTGACGTGGACAAAGCCAGTAGCTTCAAAAAGCCTTGATAAGGAGAGCAAGAGGCCTGCATCAGGGTCGATCGAGCATCACCCGCAACGTGTTGGATGTCTCAGGTCTCTGATGCCTCTATGCTGCCTCTGTGTCATGCAACCAAGCTTTTGATGGTTTTTTAACATATAGAGAAGTGCAAAACAGAAAACAAACATCCTTTGCTAGCGGTTGCAGCTGCAATCTCTATAGCTCCCCCATGCTCAACCCTTCCAATCTCATCTTTCTCATTGTCATACCAACTTCCAGGTTGGCCCCAGCTACTTCTCCCAAACTCATCCAAACAACCCAACAACAACCGGCCCAAACTGGCCTCCATCGGTTGCAAATAATCAAACCAACAGGCCACCTCCCGTACCATCCGGTGGAGCCGTTCCAACTTCACCTCATCCTGCTGCAAGTGCTGCAAGTGCTCGTAGAGACCCAAGTCCACCCGATCCATGGGCCACTTCACTGAGAAGGTCTCCCAAGACAGAAACCTCTGCGTTTTCGAACGCACCGTGACCAGCCCAGCGCACCGAGAACAGCACTCTAAGGCGTTTTTTCTGTGCTGAGAGTTCTGGGAAAGCGTGCTTTCGTGTGTATATTTCTTTGCTGTTTTTCTTTGGGTGGACGTCAGCTTATTACCCCTAACAAACCCTTCTGTGGTCCACAAAACGTCCACCCCCAAAAAAAACCTTCCAGGATTTGGGCAAATGCAATGACATACTGTTTAGCATCAAAGGTCCAAGAACACTTTCCGTGCAGTATAGGATAAGGAACAATACAGTAGCTTTCTGCTCGCGCAATTGACCTGGGCAGCTGTGAATCTGTTGGCCAAAGTACTGCAAGTGAGAAGATGGTAGATTTTAGAAAGTTACCCTTTTGCTCCTGCACCTCCTCCAAGCGCGAGAACTTCAACCACTGTGATAGCCTTTTTCCGGATCTAATCCGGGACATCGAGCAATCCGGCCCATGACGAGAGCCAAAGCATGTGGTTGATTCATGTTGATTCACTTGGATTCTGTGTTTTTGGTCCTCACTCCAACTCCAAGACGAAAATCTATCTCCGAATTCAAGAAGGACTGCGCGGACCCCGACTTTCCACCCCACCCTCCCCAGGTCACTGGCGGTCACCACCCCACCAGGCAACTCTTGGAAGGGGAGCTCTACATCGTCGCTCAACAGGACCGGGATGCATCCAGCGTAGAAACTTTCGAAGAGCCGCACCGTCCACCATCCTCGGCCTCCGCCGCGTGATCGCGCGTGATGATCGACGGCGAGTACGGCCGTGCGTGCGCGAGGACGGACCTCGCCGGACTGGCTTGGTGTAGTGGCGGACTTCATGGTGGAAAACATGTGAAAACATGCACGAGAAACAATAGAAACATGAGGATCATCAGCTTTTTTCCCATGAACATGGAAAAACCGTCTCTGAATCAATTGAGGTCAATTTTCCGACGTGTGATGCAAAACATGGATAGGCAAGGTCCATCCATATCCTAGGAATAAACATAGCATAACATAGCACATGTTTGTCCACTTACAGCAACTCAGGGCCTCTGGGGACATCCAACAGCGGGTCATGGCGGCTTCTAGCTGGGAGTACTCTCATGGCACCTCTCAGGAACCTGAAAACCGGGCCTCAACGTCCCATGACTTCAGGGGTCGTGAAACTGGTGACCAGGGGGTTCATCTTGCGTGACCAGGGCTCTTGCAACATTGGTCGAAACATCTCACACCCACAACCAACCACAGCAACACTGCACTCTATATAGTACAAGTAATATATCTATATCTCAATCTCTCTCTCTCTCTCTATATATATATATATATAATACTATAATTCATACGTCCATATCTATCCATCTCGTGCCCTCTCCCTGAGATCGGCTTGTGCCTGCACTGCGGAGGAAAACACACAACGTTCGCCTTCACCCGCCTCGAGGCACCAAGCAGAAATGCGCGTTGCCCATGAGAAAGCTATAGCGCATGGAGGAGCGACCAACATCTGCATCTTCTTTGGACTGGAAGGTCTTAAGGATCCTTGGCCGTACCGTCTCATTCACCTCCAAGTAGCCTGCAGTTTTCCAGCGAGACGATTGACTCGTGACTGTAACTATAAGCATATTATAACCCAAAACTATATTATGCGAGTCACCAGTAGCAGTAGGGTTGCTGACATCTGGGTGTGCCGAACGCTGACCAAGAGAATTGCCACAGATCCCCCACAAATATCAGATGTACAATGGCCAGGTATGCCATTCACAAGGGTCACATTTATTCACACATCATCCCATCACTTATCCCATTGCAACACCATGTCCCTTCAGCGCACTGATCGCTCCGGTTCCTATATATTCTTCTACTGAGCTCTGCCTTCATGATCCTTCATGTGCCAATTCATACTGGATCCGTCCAGCCCAAGCCCCCGCCTTGCCGCACGTCAGACCTTGCACTGGACTCTGCATGCTCCCCTCTCCATGTAAGCAACAAGGTTCGGTCCGCCGGTTGCCGATTGAAGCCTTGCAAGCGCCGCGCTTCGGCGGAGGCCACCGCCTCCGGTAGGGCAAACACAACACGCAGCACGGCGCGTCTTCCAAAACGACACATAGATAAACAACCGCATCTTCTGAATTGCGCTAAATAACTTCCCTTCTTTGCTTCTTGGGGATGTACCATTCAGGGGGATGCAAAAAGGTACTTATTGTATCTTCTTGTGTCTTGGGTGTGTGTGCTATCATATCTATCATATTACCATTGACAGGCTTCCGGGTTCCACCGAAGATCTATATGAAAAGATGTGGGAGGTGTGTAACCATGGAGCCTCTCCCTGTTTTTGATGGAAACGGGGGTGGTGGTCGCGAGGTTAATGATATACAAAACGACCTCCAAGGGCTCCAGGAGCCAAGGGATGGAGGGTACATCTCCATACATCTCCATGTGCCAAGTGACCGATGGAATCACCAGGTCCAAGCCGAAGCGGAAGCAATCTGCACAGTGCCATGTGACAAAGCTGTCGCTTTCCAATGGCCTAGCTTCAACGGTCGCTGCCACGTATCCTCGCGGCGTTGAGGAAAGCCAATTCTTCCAGTGCATCTTCCACTTCTCGCAGGAGAATACGATCAACAATGGCCTCAGGGATTAGTGGGGAGCGCTATATTCTGGTAAGTGACAAAAGCGTGGTACAAGAAGAGATCCTAATTGTCCTTCTACATGGTATCAATGGTTCAACAAACGGGTACAAGGATCCCACAACGTGGTGTTTATACATCTATCTATCTATCTATCTACCTATCTATCTATCTATCTACTAATCTATCTAATCTATCTATCTAATCTAATCTAATCTAACTATCTATCTATCTATCTTATATATGCATGGGAAATTGCTGAGAAAACATACCTTTTTCTAAAGCTCAGCAGCCAAACGAGCGTCGTTCTGTTCTCTATTCCACCCGCTCGAAAGAAACACATAATGTCAACTTTCCTCAAAAGGCCACACACCCTCTACAACCCAGTGGTCCTCAAGTTCCTGGAGGGTCAAAGGACCTCAAAACCTGAAGGTCACCCTGCTGAAGAACCTGAAGAATGCGAGTGGATCTTAATCAGCGAAGTTTGAAGCTATCACTGACGATCCATAAGCGGCGTAGCGTCGGAACGGAAACCGCACCTTTTCTAGTCGCTTGATCCTTGAGCCAAAGTACATATGGTACATATATATGTACAAGTTGCACTGTACGTGTCGCTGCACTTCCATTCGCACCCCCCATGTGAACGGCAACAATATGTTCCGATCACACACGAAAATTTAGGGATGTAAGTGCTACAAAAGAAATTGTATGATTTGCCGCGAGACTCATATGAGGCTCATACTACGAAACATGCTGGACTAAAGCGGACTTTTACATATAAAGTGTGCAACTATGGCTCAGAACCTATGAAAATCGAATTGAACAAGTGAGACAGTCACGAGGCCTCGCTCAGTATCCACTCAAAAGAGCATCGCTTTGATGTAGATCCGAACTGGTGACTTCCACGTAGATGTCACATCGGCAACTGACTTCACACTTCTCAAAAGATGTAGGTTTTGGTTTGGATACACTTACAGAACGGCAAGTCGGAGAGACAGTCGGTGACTGTCTGCCTTCCATTATGCTCATGGTATCAAATCGGATTGATGATTTGCAATGATACACTTACAGCGTTTCAGGTCAGATAGACATCCGGTGAATGACTTCCTCCCTGGTTTGCATGGTATCCTCATAGTCGTTCAAAGAAATCACCACTGGCGATAACCTCTCCATCCACGATGATCCCAGCTGCCCTGAGCATCCCGCCGATCATCTTCTCCCTTCTTGGACTTTCCCTTGGACTTGCTCTTTCCCTTCCCCTTTTCAGAAGGTTGAGGTACTTCGCGACGTTCTTGCGTTAGCGCCGGCCTCCAAGATGTTCCAGATTGGCCTCCTCCTTTGGAATGTCCTCGGGATGATGAAGAAGTTGTACCTTCTGCTGCATGTGCGTTGGCGGCAAGATCTTCCTGCAAAGCTTGCTCAAACACATCGGTAGCACTGGATGGTGATTTATCATGTGGTCTGGCTTTTGGAGCAGCCTTCGCCTTGCTCTCCTCTGCTGATGAGGGCCCGAAACTCTTAGGTGCTGTTGAAGGTTTTGGCTCCTCACTTGGCGCTGACGACAGCTTGGCCTCGGTTCTGGGTGTAGATGCTGGCTTTGCCTCAGCTCTTGACGAAGATGCTGCTTTCGCTTCAGACTTAGTCGTTGATGTTGACTTAGCTGTTGCCTTGGCTGCCTGCTTCTTCTTGCCCTGAATCTCCTTGGCCCTATCTCCAAAGCCTAGACGATCGGTAAGAGCTTGAACATGCTTCTGTTCTACCACGCTCATCCATCTCTCTGTATGTCCAATGTTGGGATTTCTGGCCATTGACTCTACGACATTCTGAGCGTGTGGGGGCAACCTGATCTCATGTTGATCAATGATCAGCAGAATAGACTTCTCCCATTTGCTCTTCATTCTCGAGTACATGATGTCCAGAGGATCGATCACCTTGTGGTTGGGTGATGTAACGTCGGTTCTAAAGTAAGAATATGTCCGACAACCATAAATCGCATGGATGCACTTCTGTACCAATTCAGTCATTGCGCTGGCTTTCTTCGCTTTCAACTCCTCAAGCTGGACGTCAGTCAAGTTGGTGGAGTATTCGAAGTTGCCATATTCCTTCTTGAAGGAGTACGGAGTATGACCAAATGATAGGATCACGAGTGCCACCTTGCAAATGAATTGCTCTCCTCTGAATCGGTGCCAGGCCTCCTCAATCGTAATCTTGTTTTCGTTGGCAAAGATTCTCATCATGTCATTTGTTGGGTCCAATGGTCTCCCATCGTCATCGATTCCAGTGAAATCCTCTGTACCGAACTTGCTTATCACATCCAGACGCTTCCTTTTCCAATTTGCTTTGAAGTCGGTAAGGCTGGTGCAATAGTAGCTCTTGTACATCAGGGAGATCATGTTCAGCACACATTTGACCACATACCTATCCATCAAACCCGATGCATTCATGGAGACGTCCTGACAGTAGGCTCTCTCTTGATGCGCATAGATTCGAGGTTCCGGTACTCGACAATAGATGGGGAGATCTTCGTTGTCTCTTCCTTCTTCGGGATTGAACTCGGTCGCTCCATGCTGTGCATAGTATCCCGGTTCATCACGATCTGTCGGTCGATTCGCCTCCGGATGTAAGTCGTCGGTGACGTCTTCATCCTCGGGCTCACCATCTTGACGTTTCTTCCCCTCATATTGTTGTGTGCTCCTCTGGATCTCGATGATCACGTTTCGTTCGTCTTCATCTTCTAGATCAGAATCACGACCGTAGTCGATCTCGTCCTCATTGAAAGATGGGGTCTCGACATTGTCACTCTTGAAGTTTTCTGCACCATCAGACGGTTTGGAAGGATCTAGATTGTCCATGTCCTCGTCGTCGTCAGCTGCTTCAGTTTGAGCGACGTCTTCTTCCCAAGCCTTTCTGATCTCGTCCATAGTGGCCTGGTCCAAGATATCTTGATCATCATCTTCAGGCTCCTTCTCTTCCTTCTTTTCCTCTTCATCGTCGCTCACAAGATCAACGGGTGAATCGGAAATGACAGTGTTGCGAATACCACACGAGAGTAGCCTGCCTTGACAAGATAGACACACGGACAAAGATGAAGAAGTCAAATGCATACATGATGGACACAAAATATTGCCATCCACGTTGCGATACCCTTCACATGTTCTGGAGATGATTTCGTCCCAAGTTTCCTCACTGATGGAATCCTCGATCAGCTCTCCATTGTCATCGAATTGTACTTCATCGATAAGGGACACGAGCTTTTGGACGTTGTCATCTGTCGCCGAGGCTGACTTCGTGACTTCGTCGGCTCTCTCGAGGATGGTATGCTTCTGAGCAACCCAAAGTCCATGACGTGCCGCTAGAACAACTTGCTCTCCAGTGCTTCCCAGCAGGAGTCTCCTCCATGCCTGAACGTAGTCGTCCCAATACCAAGCACCTCGTACACATCTCCATGGAACCTCTCTAAAAACAACAGTGTAGGAATTCTCCGAAATTCTTCCCCCAAGCTTCCTCAAAGTCATGATTGGAACATAAAGGCAAACGGGCATTCCCACTCTTGGCCATCTTGATCTCAGAATCTTTGATGATCGATCATCCCACGGCGCAAAGTGGTTGAAGAAAACACTACCTCTATATCCCTCCGTTCCACCAGGGACAATTCCTAGTTTCATGATCGACTCAATATTGGAAAGCGATGTCATGTGAAAGCTTCCTCCAAGCTGCATTGCCACATTCTCTGGAATGAGATGTGAAGTCCACACAGGATATATTGACACATCCTCTTCAAGAACAGTCTCTCTTCCAGAATTGTGAGAGGCAACAGCTCGAATTGCACAAGGAACGATCCAACGTTCATGCTTCAGAAATGATTCTTTGTTCCTCTTGTTCGGGTGCTTGCTTTGCATCCAGTAGCTTGGGAGTAGCTCCAGTAAGCATGGTTATGATTGCCAAAGCATTGACCTGTGATTCAAGAGCATTGCCAAAGCATGGTTTATGATTGCCAAAGCATTGCCAAAACATTGGGAAGTGGCAGTGTTTCTAGACAATGCTTGCCTCTGTTGGAGAGTAAGATGGCATGAGCCGTGGAGATAATAAGTATTGATATATATATATTACATATATACCTCTCGACGACCTCTCTCGACGACCGGGCTGTGTCGGTTTTGGGACCCAATCCTTTCTCAAGGTTAACTTAGATTAAAGGTATCATGTTTTTGTTAAAAAAAGGTGCCCCTACAACCACCCAACCCCGCGGCCAACGGCCGCCGCCGTTCTTGGAGCTCGTGGACATCCAAGTCCTGCACCAGCCGGGGCACCAAAGGACAAGGGGAGCAGAAGCGAAGGGAGCAAACACGAAACAAATGGTGGCACCATCAGCCACTGAACCAAATCACCAGTTCGCACGCCAAACAACTTCCTTCCAAAAAATCGGTCCTCTGAAAAAGAATGGGTAAACCAGGGAGCCTCAGCGCGATAGACCCATCC